CTTGTGGTTGCTTCGATGTCTGATTTCAGTGCTTCAGCTGGTATGTTGTCGGGTCCTGCTGTTTTCCCGTTCTTGATTTGTCTGACGGCCATTCTAATTTCTTCCGTAGTTGGTGGATTGACATCTATAGGAAGATCTATGTGTGCTGCTTCGATGTCCGGTGGATTCATTGGAGCCGGCCTATTCAGGAGTTCCTCGAAGTATTCCACCCATCTGTTACGCTGATGTTGAATTTCGGTGATTGGCTTGCCTTCTTTGTCTTTGACCGGTCTCTCTGGTTTACTGTATTTCCCTGCTAGTTTCTTCGTTGTATCGTAAAGCTGTTTCATATTTCCTTCTCTAGCAGCTTTTTCTGCCGTCGTTGCTAGTTCTTCCACGTATTTCTTCTTGTCGGCTCTAATGCTCCTCTTCACTTGTTTGTTTGCTTCTATGTATTCAGCTTGTGCTTGGACTTTCTCTGCTCGTGTTCGGCTGTTGTTAATTGCCGCCTTCTTGTTCTTCCTTTCTTTGATCTTGTCCAGTGTTTCTATAGAGATCCATTCCTTATGATGGTGCTTCTTTAGGCCCAGAACCTCTTGACACGTTGAAGTTAATGCTTCCTTGATGCCTTTCCAGTTGCCCTCCATACTAGTTTTTTCTTCTTTCAGTAGATCTTGTAAGGCTTGGAACCTGTTGTTGAGAGCTATCTTGAATTCATTGAGTTTGTCAGTATCTCGAAGGAAGGCTGTATTGAACCTTTGTAGTGCTGTTTGTCCACTTGTCCAGTTCTTTTTTAGCTTCAGTTTTAAATTGGCTACAACTAGGTGGTGATCTGAAGCTACGTCAGCACCTCTCCTGGTTCTCACATCTTCCATTGTCCTTCGAAATTTTTTGTTGATGCAAATATGATCTATTTGGTTCTCTGTAGTGTGGTCCAGTGAGATCCATGTAGCCTTGTGTATACGCTTGTGTGGAAATATTGTGCCTCCTATGACCAATTTGTTGAATGCACATAGATTTGCAAATCTTTCTCCATTTTCGTTTCTCTGTCCCAGTCCATGTCGTCCCATGATATCTTCATATCCGGTGTTGTCTATTCCGACTTTGGCATTTAGATCTCCCATCAGGACGGTGAGGTCCTTTCTTGGGCATTTCTCAATGATTGACTGTAGCCGCTCGTAGAATTGATCTTTAATGTCGTCGTTGCTATCATTGGTGGGTGCATAACATTGGATAATATTCATTAAGATCCCCTCCTTCTTTGTTTTGAATGATGCTTTGATGATTCTGGATCCGTGAGACTCCCATCCTACAAGTGCATTTCGTGCTACTTTGGACAGCATAAGAGCGACTCCCTGAGTGTGTGGAGCATTGTCCTCCTCGTGACCGGAGTATAGCAGCATCTCTCCCGTAGCTAGCCTTTTCTGTCCAGCTTGGGTCCAGTGGGTTTCGCTGATTCCCAGTACTGCTAAGTTGTATCTCCTCATTTCCATTGCTATTTGACTGGTCTTCCCGGTTTCCCATTGTTCGAACGTTCCATGTACCTATAAAAATTTTTGCTCTGGTTGTTAGAAGGGGCATCGGCCTCGTGGCTTCCGAAGGAACTCGGCTTTCACCATGAAGCGTCATAATTCTTCTAACTGAAGACCTTCTAACTCCCAGGGCAGAGTTTAAATGGTTTGAATAATTTTTTCTGGTAAGCGTTTTTTTAGCGAGTTAGTTTTCTACGGGATGGGGACGCTAACCCCATGCCCAACCCTCCTCCTTTACCCGGGCTTGGGACCGGCAGTAACCCTATTAGAGCTACAGGCGGAGTTTATAAATTGCTTACATGTAGATAAATATTTTCCTCAATTTTTGAAGGCAATATTTTATATTACTTAATTGTTTTGGTTACTTAAAAGTAGTACGAAATTACATGAGAAATTTATGTAGACATGAAATCATATCCAAACAGATAAATGGAAACTTCCCACTGTCTATTTCAAATATCCTTGTATATTGATAGATTTAAGAACAGCAAGATGCTTTGTCATGGTTAGAAGATTCGTTGGATACACTTCTAACAAAATTCGCAGCTAGGAAGAAGATTCGTATATCAAGGGGGGTTTTGGTGGTGCTAATTTGTTCAAGAACTTAATAACACCGCCTGACCCACTGAAAAGAAGGAAACCTGAAGACTCATATCGAAACAACAGTAACTGTTAAGTGTGAGTGTTTAAACAGGATTTTGCCGTGTCAAAAGCTTTGTAATCTAAAAATAGTCTTCAGGTATATGAAAGAATCATTGTCATGTTACAGAATGTTGTGAGCGTTGCTTATATAATTTGAGAGGTATTGCCTAGCGTTACAAAGAGGGGTTTTGATGAGCAAGTTTTTGATTGTCAAATTCAATAGGTGGAATGCTATTCGATGAATGAAGGTTGATGATTGCTGATGAGACTGCTTTATTTACTCTTAATGATTAGAAGTCAGAAGCGATATCACTCCAGCCAGATGAATAAGTTTTTACATATAAGAAAATAGCATGTCCATATACAGAATATTAGACACAAAATAAGCGTGAAATGTCGTAGGCGATTAGCTTGTAGGTCGCTCATTCTTTAACTAGTTAAGACCTAATCTTTGGGTATAGTATCACATATGATGGGAATACAAAGAAGCTATGAACAACATACTTCCACAATTATAGGATATCCTTTTCACATTAGAAAGATTACACATACACTCTTTTAGTCACAAGTATTGTTCAATAGAAACCGCCCCTACCATTCTACAGTTTAAGGCTACAATAAACTCACTATTGAGTTCGATAAGGCAAAATACATGTATGACATCACCAACGTGTTTTCATTCATTTACATCTGATAGATAGGGACCCATAAGTTCACTGTTTATGTGACTTAACTTATCGACCCATATACAATGGTAAGATATAATTAAAACTATTAGAACCAAATATTTAAAATGGTCTTCTATACCTACTAGTACAGCTCTGCAACGCGTGTCCCACTTATTTTCTGTTAATTTTTAATAAGTTCCCCAACCAAAATTTATTCACAAAGATGTATCGATTAATTAAGCTTATATTCATAGGATTTTGACTGACTGAACTAAAACTAATTTTTAAAATCCACCAAGACCAAATAAACAAGTAGTTTGGTCCAGCATATTCTACTTATTGAAATTTAAACGATATTTTTATTTTAAAAAATAAACGCGTTTTGGGTTGGCAGGTTGAGAAATCTCTGGCAATGCGGAAAGTCCATATTTTGAATATAAAGAATCGAGCCCTGATCATTAAAAATAAAACTGTTACATCCCCTAGTCTTTTTGTCTCCAAAGCTAACATTCGTGTTTCATTTAAAAATAATTTAAATAGTTGATTATTTTGAGTCATAATGTACCTTTTTGAACCTTAAGTGTTTCGTCTATTCCAGTTTACTGCATCCACTTCGACTTACGACCTTATTTTCCAACGAACTACGCTGTTTTTATTAACTATTTCTAACAAATACAATTTACTAAATCATCTTAGACCTTGGTATTGCAGTCAGTAATAAAAAAAGCATGAAGTTGGTCCATGTTGTTATACCTCATAAACACGACGGAATTAAATTAACAAGATGCATAGTAAAACGATGGCGATCAAAAAGACAGCGTTGAAAAGAAGATACGAAAAATCAAAATGGAAAAGCATGTATGAGGGAATACAAGATTGAGAGGAAGATAGAGTGAATGCCTATGTGCCATTGTGAACAATTCTAAGTTGTCACCCACTTCTCCAATACTGATCGGTGTTATTACGTGAATCCCGACCAGGTAATTTACATACACTAATATGGCCCAGAGCAATAATGAATGACTTCACAAACCGATTACAAGTTTTGGTTTGGCTGTTTAAATTTTTCTTCCAACCTATGCTCACACTAGTAAACATCATCTGTCGAGGTACGCGGTGGGTATGTATAAGTAGTAGATTCACATAAAAGTACCGGTAGTTCAATTGTTAGTTTAGCAAATTACAATCTTAACCCATTAGGAATTTTCCTTATTCTTCAAAATGATTGTATTCTATGTATTAAAAAAACTAAACAATTACGACTCCTGGAAATTGAAACATGACACTCACTGAGACCATAAAATTCCTATTAAAACCAATATAAATGTAGGTAACATAGAGAAAATCACATTTACCAATAACCGTCTCTGAATCTACAATTACTAAAACGCTATGTATGAACAGATGATCCCAATATTCAAGTATGATTGAAGATACAGTATTTGTGAACAATAGCACATAGGCAAGGCGAAATAAGACTTCTGAAAGTATATACAGTCTCAAGAATACTGTATTGGAACACCGAATAGAACAGCTGGGTTGTTAAAGTGGCATATTTACTCATTTAGAATGTAATGATGTGACAAATGATATTCAATCCACGTTTATTAAGCCTGAAATGTTACAATTCAACGAAAATAAGGTTTACAAAAATACAGGAATTATTTGTTGCCTAACTGTACTTAATAAGTAATTATAAGATATAGTTTTGCTCATATCAAATAGATTCCTAAATAAAGGTAAATCCGAAACCCTAAATATTCCTCCGGAATCATCTTGGCTGCCTGCGAATCACTATGAAACGCGAGTTTAATAGGCTGTCGTCGTTCTGTGCCTATAGAAATGCTGAGAGCCATTGGTATAGGTGAGATATTCCTGGTCCATAATGTCTTTTGTATAAATCGCCAGTTATTTTTTTAGTAAATACTCATCATATTATAATGCATAGTAATAAGTACTGACCAACTGGCGTATAACCAACGAAATTCCCAAGTGAAATTTTTTGAATGTCTGTAGTGAGAAAAGTCAATGGACATTAAAGATATTTCTAAATACTCGGTCATTTTGATAATAATCCTCGCTTTATGGTTAAATATAATCTCATAAATTAACTAGTGAAGGTGATCCCAATTACACCTTGGTGTCGCAATATTATGGCAGAAATACTTAAAAACATATTTGTCCGAAAAATACATCGAACAACCTGCAGAAGTAATTCGACAACATACTCAGTATGATAGAAGTCAGTCATTAATTTAAACGGTGGGGACAGTACTCTAAGTAAAAACACATTAAAACATATTACATTACTAGATGATACAGACAGCATAAGCCGCATTAAACACGAGATCTTCAATTTTACACATTCCTTCGAGTCACGTCCAAAACAAGTTGAAAATAGACTTTATGGTTGAATAGAAAAAAGGCAAGAACTTCTCACTAATTCACATCAAAATAAAAACACAACGGGTTTTTTATATTTTGTTTAGTTATTTACACTGTCAATAAATAAAAACTAAAATCAACTGGCTGAACTATATCGAGCGTATAAATTCCTAAACTATAAATGTTTATATAATAATCTTAAAATCAGGGTCGAGTTGATCAACTGGAGGCAGCTGAACACGGGAAGCAGGGATTAGATCTTTATCTACAAGAGGTAGGCCATCTCTTCTTCGTCTTTCTATCTCCAAATATGCTTCTCTCCAAGTCCAATCAGAAAAACTAAAAACAGTTTGATAACAATCAATAAATATTACGATGAAGTACCAACTGTAAGGAAAAAAATTTTACTAACTCGAAACAAATGTAGAAAATAAAAACGTCACGGAAAAACCAACCCATAAAAAGGTTGATGTTTTTGAAATGTAATAACAGAGTGAGAAAATCCCATGTATTAAAACTTGTGATATTACCAAGGTAGTAGCACGACATTAATTACATGGTATTCAAGAGTGTGATAAAGAAAGGGACTATCTACTGGAACTTTGGTCACTTAATTGAAGCAAGACCAGCTCCCAACCACTAACCATGTGATTGTTGGTCGATCATTTAATATAAATCATTTACCTTTAAGCCTATAATACAAACAATTTTTACGTTTTTTAAGACATGTGGACGGTATTTCCATAAGAAATAAAACTGGTTGTTAAACATTCGACCAACCAAACTAACAGATTACATTGTCTTTAGGTTTACGAGATAACAGAGATCACTGCAAAAGTACTTTTATTTGAAAAGCCTAGTACAACGGAAGTGAAAGGCTTGGAAACTACTACCCCAAGGAATCGTGCTTGCTGGTTTCAAGGCTTTTCGGTGTATCATCCATCAATAAATACACAGAAACAATTTTTTCTCTATACTAATCTTTCAAACCATATGTATCCAACGTATCTAACAAAAATATTACCCCGATAGTCATCAGGTTAGTGCGATTAAATTAAACTTATAGTGACTGAAAAATTTTGTACAACTCAGCTGCAGTTTTATGTTTACTGGTCAATGTACAAAACAATAATACAGCCATCACATATACTCAAATACGGTTAAGAAACAAACTCTCTGGAGTGATGAGACACTGAGCCGTTGATAAAGTACCACACAAAATAAATGGTTCAAGATCCTTCAAGATACTGTTTATGAGTATTTGCCTACACACCTAATTATTAGACGGTTCGAGAATTTTATCGGAGTACTCGATATATTTCACGAATACATATAAAAATCATTAACGAAAGTAAGGCTAGAAGACGGAGGATGGACACATACGAACTGAGATTACTTACCTACGGTTAGGAGAGTAGTACATAAACAAAAACAACGGAAAAATCCAGAGTGTAAGAAGAGCGAAAGGCATAAACTGTGATAGGAAAGTATCTTCTTTTTTGTCAGTATGGTGATAACCCGTGGTAATCCAATCCTTCAGACAGACCATAAGAAATGTGTGAAATCTTAACTAACCTTTGTCATTTCTTCAACCTCTTTTTCTATTTGCCTTTTATCCGCTTCCGGGATATTATTTTCCTTTAGTATATGTTTCATCTCATTCAACTTCATATGCATTGAGATAGTAGTACATATATGTCTCTTTATATTTGGAGTCAGAACAGCTGTAATGCGACTAAAACTCCGAGGGCTAAACACACTTAAAGCTGACAACTTTAAGGACGCCATCTGCAAGCCTACTTTTGACGAGCGCGCCTCAAAAACTTCAATCTACAGGCACTCATTAGTTGTTGAGATCCACTTTTTAAGGGATTCCATAACATTTTAAATGAATTCTCTGGCAGAACGCTGACGGTGTATTGTGTGCAGACTATAATGACATAGGATTCCAAGCTCATGTGATCCTAGTGATAACATTTCTTTGTAACGACTAATTAGGTGTTGTCAGTACGAATTTCAAGAAGAATTTCATGGCTAAACGTAAAATAGTCATCCGAGCGACTTACACGATACAAGATTTAAAATATGATCAGATTCGATTTGAGAACACATGGACAGTTAGAAAATGGGTACGATTCATATTAGGTATTACTAGTTAAAGCGTTGTCAAACTCCGAATACCTGTGGCATCTTCACTGTGGTGGTCGCACTCCGTTCCTTGTACCTATTCTTATTAATATATTTCTGTAACAAGGTATTTTGTGTCATACAGCGGTCAAAGTAGCCACAGCACCTGTATACGACTAAAGGGTATTCCACGTTAAGTATTAACCAACTTAATTAGTCCCACAATAATCAACACAGATAATCTGCGTTGGTGTATAATCTAAAAATGCCTTAACCATTAACACTTTATAATCAACATGTGTTAGAAGCGAAGAAGTTCGAAGATATAATTGATAGGCTCGCGATATATTGAGAAGTGATCAGTCCAAGCTGGTTGGCGGTCGTACGAACGGGAAGTTTAATCCCAACATGATTTGCAGTTCACGAACTTTTTCTGTGTTCTTATGCAACAAAAGTGCCATTTCTGATGTCAAACATCTGCCCTGAGCTATGCATTTGGTAGATTACTTTTCTTTTTGAGTTTTACCGAACTTAATAGTTAACTGGGGTTTTGCCTCATCTCATCATTCGGTTTTTCAGTTTTTTTCACGTCAAGGCCAGCTTCAGTTTATCTTAACCTTTTGTACCACCCGTTTTTATCCATTTTTACACGTTTTCAGTGTACTGTTTTTTCCACGGTCTTAGGCTATTGCTAGGATCTATAAAACAATTTATGTCTCTATAGCCATGAAAAATTCATGCAAATGACCCGGATGCTGTTTTGCCGTTACACCTGATATGCAGTGCGACAACTGCAAATGTTGGTTCCACGAAGCGTGTACCGGTCTTACGGCAACTGCTTACAACCGACTCAGTCAGTCGGATCATTGATGGGTATGTGTCATGTGCAACACGAATCCTGATGTTTGCTGGGCAAAATCATTGTTCTGTTGACAGGTCTGCGGAATAAGTTGTCAGCAAACTTGAAAAAAGACAGTCTTGAAACGGGTAGACAAACAATAACGTGCAACAAAAAAAGAAGAGGGAACTCGATAGCGGTACTATTAAGAGGGCATGTAGTAACACTAGCAATGACATGCTGAGACTCGGCACCACCACAACATCCATGGTAATAGACTCCCCCCAGCAAACTTGGACCTCCTAGCACAGGTTCACAAAAGCTTTGTAGGTGATTGGAGTTCCGTTGACAAAGTTAAAAAGGACTAGGCGTCACCGCCTAAGAATCTGAACATCCCGAGTACTACAGGGAAATTAACTGGTGATTTGGCCGCACAATCTACACTCAAGAATGTCCATCCGGTCGGCTGAAAACCCAGGAATAGTAAACGCTCTTCGATCTCCAAACAACAAGGTCCTCAACTTGAACGCACTATAAAACCTGGGGAAACAATAACGGTTCGTGATGACTTTCTTATAATCATAAACCTTTAAAACAACCCTGACAAACATGATAGGATGCTCTGGGAAGAGTTAAGCAAGAAACTCAAACTCCCTAAGATAAATCCTTTGACGGTCATACGGCTTACTCGTGGAAAGGACTCTAAGCATCAAAATCACCTAAGCCTATTTCGTACAACACTGACTAACGCTACAGACGTAAAGGATATCCTACTAACTAGTCACTTACTGAAATCAGATGGGATTGTAGGAATACTGCCTAACATACTGTGTTCTGAACACAATCTCATCCGGAACATCCCCAAAGAGTCTTGTAAAAAAAATTTCCGCGGAAGAAATATCATTGTGCAAGGTGAACTGGAAAACACGGACCGCGATCACACAAACTCTGATATTAGGGAATAGAAATTCATCAAGCAATCCATGAAGCTCAAAAACACATTGACTCAACAAGTGTTGAGACTAGCCCAGAAGGACGGAGATTCTAGACACCGGCTGATGAAAATAACCTTCTCATCTTCCCATATGGTGACTGCGACTCTGAAGGCATTTCGTGCCAATAAACGTCGGTTGCCACCTGGAATTCATATGCATCCGAATATGCCAAATGACGCCAGGATCAAACACAAAGACAAGTCGGAGCTGACTATTCCACTCTTGAACTGTCTTGATCGTAAAAAATGTGTAAAGGACAGGGTCTAACAACCCGGAAAACCTTGTATAAGTAGGCTACCTGTCCATCCATATAGGACTCATACAAAAGGACAGGAAGGAGATGCTCACGCGTTTCAAACTGAAAGCGTAAACTGCTTCTAAATGAAGGCCGCGAGTTTATCGAATAAAATAGATGAGCCACGTGAACTCAGTAATGCTAATAATGCTCATCTGATTGGAATATCTGAAACTTGGATATCTTCTCAGTTTACGGACCAAGAACTAGGAATACTCGGGATGTCTTTGTTTCGCAGTGATAAAGAAACTGGAATTGGAGGTGGAGTAGCCTTATACTTACGATCCTACCTGGAGGCACATTAAGTGAACACCCAAAAGTTCATCGGTCTTGCTGAATCCCTACTGTGTTTAGTAAGATTGCCCACCATCTTGAGGTGTCTAGTTGAAGTAATCCATAGGAAGCTCATTGCCGACATCGAGTATAACGACTGCATGCCGGATTGTGTGGATTCACTCATATCCTAATTCTAGGGGACTTCAATCTTCCTGAAGTTAATTTCGTGAAACATACGTATATTGAAGGTGAAAGCTCTGCTGAAGCTTGGTTCTTCAACCTCACTGAGGATCTGGGATTATTCAAAAATGTGAAGTCGGCCTCCCGCCTATTAATGAGGCACTTTATTATGGGCTGCCTAATACCTAGACGGAACAGGAATATAACGAACCCCATTGTTAATAATATGAATATAACTAAATTATATACATATGGTCTACCCTCTCCTATTATTCACTGATTATCAATCATGGCCTTATGCTCCTAACCCTCAGTTTCAGTTTCCAACTCTCTCTAATGATTGGAGATACATCATTCTTCCTAAGTGTCATGTCTTTTTTTCCATTGCAAGTAAACAGATAACTCACTAATCTTATGGATGCTGATCAAATAAGGCTGATCATAAGAAACTCAAAATGTTCTAAATTCTTGTGAGTTGCTCAATGTTCTATTATTCCTACCCTTAACATTTTGCAATCTTATACTCCTTCATATTCTTTGATTTGCTATTAGTTCTTACTCTCTTTAAACCTCATATCATCTAACCGCTTTTTAACTTTTACTATTAGTTATCTTCATAGCAGTGTGAAATACTAAATGGATGTCTAACTCATAATACAATTGCTTGTAACATGGAACTAGTAGAGGCAGTGTATTCCAACTAAGGGCTTTGATTAAAGCAATATTCATACTTACCACAAACGTAAGAGTGCTTAACACCACAAAAGGAGTGAGGGGATGTTACTGACCAGCAAACATGATGATGAAGAGATAACTTCAATCCACCAATGTCTGTAGAGCAGAACACTTTGTTTAATTACGGCTCCTTATGGACTAGTGCAATGTCACGACCCAATGGTATTCATGCTGATTTATAATGCAAAATACCTCTCTAAATCGTGCTTAAAACGCTGAATTGGTTTCACTCCCTGCCGAGTAACCTTATTACAAGGAAGCTAGACAACCCGCTAAAAACGAAGCCTCCTCAGGACCCTATAAAATCTACCAAGAAGGGCTCAAGTAGCTTCGAAAAAAAGGGAAACGCCCATTTGTGTATCAGAATACTGTTTTCAGCACTATATTTTATAACTAAACATAACCCCATACTTTCGGCTTCTTTCTGAACCACCTTCATTTATTCAGTTCTTTATTCACTTATACATTGTTTACACTTGTTTTCTTTAATATATTAAAATGCTCTTGCTTAATAATTACCTTAATAAAAGGGAATTAGACTGAGTAGTCATGCCTTAAATATTCCTTCATGAACATTGTGTGCTCTGCCTCTCGTCCTTTCTTTTTCTTACACCTTTTTTCAGCCCCCTTGAGATATGCCACCGAAAACAGATATTAAACGGATGACTTCGTCCTGCACCATCATCGAAGCCTCAGATATTCCAGAAGGATATACGGTTGCGGTTTCTAGAAGCCCCCAACTTCACGTGGATCTATTTCCGACCATCAGTTGCACGTCGCAACGCAACCTTCACAAAGCGCGCCAACTGTGATCCTGACAATACGACCCTTACTAAAACCATCTACATTCATATCCTCTAAAATATAAACCCAGATAAGTAATTTACCACAGTGAAAATTGTATGTTTTGTAACAATTTGGTCTTGCCAGTAAACTGGCACGCCTCATGCAACAAACTGTATTTTTGAGAATAAACTACTATTATTATTGTTAACTCGTTGGAGAATCATTCGGACACCGTTGCGCTTAGACTGTGCACTTACAAACGAAGAATTCCTAATTGACAACTTTCCAATCCTGGCTCCCCTGGGGAGAAGCGATCACACCGTCATAGACTTTAGTTTTATCAGCGAAACTGAGCCAAGACATCTCACCAACAACAGGTGCTGGGATTTCAAACAGTTGAATGTGTCAGCTTGACAGAACTATTTACAACAGTTGGATTGGGAGACCCACCCTCAACTTGGTGTGGATGCTCATTGGGATTTCTAACCACACATGATCGTATGTGCTCCAAAGTAGTCTGCCACTCATATGGTCCCTAAAATCTACAAGCAACCTTAAGTCATCAAGAACCGCACTCTTCGTTTGCTAAGCCTCAAAAGGCACG